ACTGGAAACATGGTTTAATGGTGGACAGGACCCCAGGGCTTGGAGCTCCAACGTGAAAAGAATGATCACATGCTTCAAGATGAAGGAAAAGAAGAAAGGGCCAATATGCTGAGTGGGTTTTATACCCTACGTTGGGATTTGAATTTGAGCTTGTATTCTGATTGGTTGTCAGACTCCCATGGGGCCACGCAACTCTGCAGGCTGTCCTGAGTCCCAGGTTTGGTTGAGCTTTGCTGGATGATGATGACGTAATGAAAGGGCTTTGTGCAATTCCTATAACTCTACCTGCAGTAGAACTTTGTTATGTAAAATAGGCTGGCCTAGGCCAGAGTAATGGCCCATTAGCAAAGGTGGGGGGGGGGGCTAAGTTTCTGCTTCTGAGGTGAGTTTCTGCTTCTGAGTTTCTTCCCTTTTGGGGGGAAATATTCTGCCTTTTTAAAATTTCCTAGGATATTTCATTTCTCTAGGAGAGGGGTGGGTGATAACTTCCTACATCCCCTTTCAAACTCTTGAGCCAGAGGTCTCAGCTCCGCTCCTCCTTGTTGAGTCGGCTTTCTCATTCAGATAGGAATTTCCATCTTTTAGACCCGGGGACTCTCCGTATCATCACCACCACCACCACCCACCACCACCCAATGCAGATAACGAGAAGAAAAAACCACCAGGATGTTTGCGGTGGCAAGTATTTTCGAACAGCGCAGAGAGAGGCGAGTGCATATATATCAAAATAGCCCTTTGCAAGCAAACACAAAGGAGCCACAATGCTCCCCACCCCGGGCAGCTGCCAAGAAAACAAAGGAAAACTCAACCGCTAAAGAGCAGCTTGAAAAAAGGGGCACCTTTAAAGAATGGGTCAGCTGGAAGGAAGACACCTGCCGGTGGTGGCCGAGGTGCGTCCCTCCTCCGGACAGCTGCCCGGTTGTTTGTTACACCTTTCCTGCGATTTAAATGCACTGCTTGAATCCAGGCCAAGCTTCCTGTTCCGTTAACCTTTGATTAGCCAGGTGGCCAGTGCTGATTTCTGCCTCTGTGTCACAGTCCTTCCCGCTCCGAGTTGTGGGTTGACTGCCAAGGGTGACCCAGGCTGGTTTGGGTCCCGAGGCAAAAAAATAATAATTTTAAAAAGAATTCGTTTCTCCCACCTGGCCGAAGCGAAGTTGCAGCCTGGCTGGGGATAATTTCCTGTTGTTCCTCATCTCAGCCATCTGATTCAGAGAGGCTTTGGTGCTGGCCTTGTCTGGAATCCAAATGTTTGGAGCAGGAAGGGCAATTTCTTCTGCTCTCCGGTCTCCTTCTGGTGCTTTGGAAACTAAATTGACCCCAATTTCTTTGTGACAGCCTCTCAAATGTTGGAATACTATCATGTCCCCGCTAGTCCTTCCTTTCTCTAGACTGGCCAAACCCAATTCCTGCAGCCATTCTTCCTATGTTTTAGCCTCCAGGCCTTTTAATCATCTTAATTGCTCTTCTTGCACTTTCCCCAAAGTCTCAACATCCTTTTTTTGTAAGGTAACCAATGCTGGTTGCAGTATTCCAGATGTGCTCCAAAGGAACGCCAGTTAAGGGTGCTGCGTGATAGCCCTTTCGACACGTCCTGACATTATTGCGGTATTATGCCTTTAAATTAGAAGTCAGAACTGCAGACCGAGGTCTCGTCTTGTTGCCGAGATCTGATTCCTGATCTTAAAACTTACTCAACCTTCGAGCTACATTAGAAGCAGAATTTATTGATTTCATATTTTTTTTATTCCACCTTTATTACTTTATAAGTAACTCAAGGTAACAAACATATACAATCTTCCTCCTAATTTTTTCCAGAAGGGAAACTTTGTGAGCTGGGTTGGGTTGAGAGGAAGTGACTGGCCCAGGTCACCCAGCCGACTTTCATGCCTAAGACAAGATTAGAACTCACCGTCCCCTGGTAATTGACCTAAAATCACCTAACTGGCTTTTATGTCTAAAGTGTGACTAGAAATCACCGTCTCCTGGTCACCCCAGCCAGCTTTCATACCTAAGGCAGGACTAGAACTCCCTGTGTCCTGGTTTCTGTGGTCTTCTGGCTTCTAGGCCAACTCTAAATTGTTCCTCTAAGAACACTACAATGGTAGTATCCGTAGTAACAAAATTATTCCAATTATTTTTATTGTTGTTTTATTATTATCAATTATTATCTGTCTTGTCAGAACAGACCAAAAAAAGCACAAACCTTTAGTGCATTTCAGAAAACTGCCTCCACAAAAGGTACTCCTCGTCTTACGACCACAGTTGAGCCCAAATTTTCTGTTGTTAAGTAAGGTTTTTTTTAAGTGAGCTTTGCCGCATTTTTACAATCTTCCTTGCCCCGTTTGTTAAGTGAATTGCCCCAGTGGATAAGTGATCAACCCGGTTGTTAAGTGAATCTGACTGTTCTGACCAAGGCTTCCGAGACTAATTACACGCTTATTTTTAAAACAAGTCTTGTTTTATTGCAAAGCTGGGAATTATTTTCATTCCCAGCCGGAAATGACTCTTAAATAGTCCCTCAAGAAAAGCACCCACCTTTCTTTGCTGTGAAGTGCTGCCAATAACAGAAGTGTCAAATGAACTAGAAAGAAAACCAACTAAAGTACAAAGAGCTTCAAGAATGAATCTGAACCGAACAAACCACTTTGCTTCCTGCAAAGGTTTCATCATCTTGGCCTGTCCTTTATACCTTATGGGAGGGGCAATCACCTCCCAGCCTTACTCCCAAGTCATCCCTTTTCTTTCAACTGCTCTCACCTTCTAGCAGCTCTGTACACACGCACACTGGGAACAGGCTCCCCTCGGTCCTCTGCCTCGCTGCTGCCAGACTCCAAAGGCTCCGGAGGCAGCAGCACCCCACTCCCAGATGGTCCTGGCCCCATCTCTGTATTGGACTCAGGACCATCGTTCGAGTCCTCTCCAGACTCCCAGACTGGTCCCCGTTCTTCCGCATTGTCTGATTCCGCTGCCATCTGCACAGGCTCCCAGCAAACCACAACACTGGCTTCCCCCTTGATTTCGCTTGTCGGAAGGTCACCAAAGGGGGATCACATGACCCGGGGGACCTGGCAGCCATCATAAATACGAAACCAGTTGCCAGGCATCTGAATTTGGATCACATGATCATGAGAGAATGCTGCAACGGTTGCAGCTCGGAAAAACAGTCATAAGTCACTTTTTTCAGTGCCGTTGTAACTTTGAATGGTCACTCGATGAATGGTTATATGTCGAGGATTACCTGTATAGTTTGGCAGTGGTATAGCAACTGAAAGATGTGTGGACTTCAACTCCCAGAATTCCCCAGCCAGCTTGGCTGGCTGAGGAATTCTGGGTGTTGAAGTCCACACATCTTTCAGCTGCTAAGATGGAGAGACACTGAGTTAGACACAATTGATATGGGTGATGGCTTTTGCCAAAGACCTGCGTTGCGTCTACGAAATGGCGGGCAGCGACCGATTGAACCGCAGGGATATCGGAATTCCACATCTCCGGCTGAACTCCTGAGATGGGAATTCGCTTAAATGATGTAATCGCCTAATTGACTTTCACGGGCTTGTAGTCAACTTCCGATGAGGTCATGGTACGGTTGGTCACTTGCACTTTGCACAGGAGGGGGAAAAAAATTAAGGCAAGATGCCAAGATGATAAACACGACCGGTTTTATTGAAAGGTTTGAACGACTTCAGTTTCAACCTAATTATACCCTCTTCAGGATGCTAAAAATAAACTGGTTTTTATTTGCAGAATCCAACACTTACTGATTTCGGTAGCAGAAATAAGTAGTGCCGGTACTGAAACTTCTCTCCTGTAACCGGATTTTGTTTCTTTCCTGGTAATTAATCTAGTTATCCTTCCCATGGTGGCGAAGTAACTCTGAACGTATTAGCCAAACTGTACTGCATCATGCTTACTGCGTTACAGGTAGACCTCAATTTACAACTGTTCATTTTAGTGACTATTAGAAATCAGAACGGCACTGAAAAAAGTGACTCACAGCCATTTTTTGCACTTAACGACCGTTGACAGCATCCCCATGGTTATGTGATCAAAATTCAGGTGTTTGGCAACTGGCTCGTATTCATGACAGTTGCTGTGTCCTGTCTAGAGTAGAGATAGAGATAGAGATAGAGATAGAGATAGAGATGAGTAGAGTAGAGTAGAGTAGAGTAGAGTAGAGTAGAGTAGAGTATAGATGGAATGGAATGGAATGGAATGGAATAGAATAGAATAGAATAGAATAGAATAGAATAGAATAGAATAGAATAGAATAGAATAGAATAGAATAGTTGGAAGGGACCTTGGAGGTCTTCTAGTCCAACCCCCTGCTTAGGCAGGAAACTCTATACTGTTTCAGATAAGTGGTTATCCAGTCTCTTCTTAAAACTTCTAATGTTGGAGCATTCACAGCTTCTGGAGGCAAGTTGTTCCACTGATGAATTGTTCTCACTGTCAGAAAATTCCTCCTTAGTTCTAGGTTGCTTCTCTCCTTGATGAGTTTCCACCCATTGCTTCTTGTCCTACCTTCAGATGCTTTGGAGAATAGGTTGACCCCTTCTTCTTTTGGGCAGCCGCTCAGATATTGGAAGACTGCTATCATGTCACCCTCAGTCCTTCTTTTCATGAAACTAGACATACCCAATTCTTGCAACTGTTCTTAGCATGTCAGAAGCCAGCTGCAAATCTCAATCACAAGACCCTGGGATGCTGCCATGTTTGTAAAAACACCCTGTTGCCAACTGCCCAAATTTTGATCACATGTTCTTGGGAATCCCTTAGTGGTTGTAAGTGGGAGGACTGGTTGGTTGTAAGTCACCTTTTCAGTGCCTTAGTACAACTGAAGTAAGAAAGGTCATAAACTCACTTAATCTATGTCTCACTTAACAGCAGACATTTTGGGCTCAGTTGTGGTCATGGATCAAGGACTACCTGTATTAAGAAAAGAAAAATAAGGATTTTCTTTGACACCCACCTGTCTCCTCCTGCACTTTTTCCTCCAGGGTGCTGGAACAGCCATTGGGGAGCTGCCTCCATACTTCATGGCCAGGGCAGCCCGATTGTCTGGAACTGAGCCGGACGACGAGGAATACCAGGAATTTGAGGAGATGTTAGAACATGCTCAAGGTGCACAGGTAAGGAATGCACAAACAGTGTGATGGCAGAAGTTCCCGGCATACCCTGACACACCAGCATTATTATGGCAGCTTTAACATTGTTTCATATGAGAGTCTTTACCTGGAGGACTTCGGGCGATTGACCTGAGTCTGGGGATTTGGGGCTGGTGACCATTCACTGGGCAA